GCCGAGTGGGGAAAAACTGTTAGACACATGAACAGATTAGTGGTGTACCTGGGGCTTCTGTTTAAGACTATGCTTCCTCCTCACCGTCACCGAGCAACCCTCTTTCCCCAGCTGCTTGGGGTCTTTTTAATTAAATTGCTATGCAGATAAGCTGCTTAAAAACACCACTGTGTGTGGGAATAGGAAGTGATACTCTACCGCAAAGAGAGCGAACACCAAGTGACAGCGCCAACCGAAGGGTTGGTGTGACCGAATGCCTGATGTTGAATAGTTGAATACATATATCACATTTGTCACTGTACCTACTGAAACATCACCCAGTTAAACTGTCATTGTGTTGTGAAGTCGACCACATGCCATCGTACCATCACTGAATCTTTTTTCACTGTCCTATATTCCATCTTCTTATAAAATCAGAATGAACATAAATATTGCATCTGCATTTGTTATTTTTCCAGTCACTAATGTTTTACTGTAATTGTAAAACGTTAACTGTAAAAATACAGGCCATTTGTAATTGTTCCCTTGGTTTTTGTCTTTTCATCTTTCAAACATTTTTTTAAATCTATAAGGTCATTCAGATGAGAGTAGCAGCATCGTGGAATCTGGACCCTCTGGCTATTACTATGAGGGTGTATGGAGAGCACTATATGGCGCCACAGTTCATGAGTTCAAAAATTCCTCAGCCATCACACAGTGTCTGAAAGACAAAGTTGTTCACTTGCATGGAGACTCGACCATCAGGCAGTGGTTTGAATACCTTAACCAAGCAGTACCAGGTAGATACCCCAAAACCTCTTATTGTACAAATTGGATTTTCTTTTACCTTTTCTTTTACCTATTTCTTCTATAATTCTTTCAGATCTCAAGGAGTTTAACCTGCATAGTCAGAAAAAAATTGGACCTCTTATGGCTCTGGACAACGCAAACAACATTTTGGTGACGTACCGCTGCCACGGCCCTCCAATCCGTTTTAGCAAAGTCCCAACCAGTGAGCTGCTCTATATTGCCAACAAGTTGGACAATGTGGTTGGAGGCAGCAACACTGTCATAGTTCTCAGCATCTGGTCACATTTTAGCACTTACCCCATTCAGTTCTACATCCGGCGTCTGCAGAGCATCCGCAAGGCAGTGGTGCGGCTGCTGTCCAGGGCTCCAGACACACTGGTTGTCATTCGGAGCGCAAACCCCAAAGCTTTGATAACGTTGTACGATGCACTCACTGTGAGTGACTGGTACTCGCTGCAGCGGGACAAGGTTCTCAGAGCCATGTTCAAAGGTTTGAATGTCCATTTGGTGGATGCCTGGGAGATGGTCCTGGCCCACAACTTGCCGCATGACCTCCACCCACCACCTCCCATAATTAAGAACATGGTTAATGTTCTCTTGTCCTACATATGTCCGCAAAAAGATGGCTAGATGTGTTTATTAGCGAGCCATGCACAAAGCAGACTGAGTAAATTGTTAAAAAAATCTGTTTTTAAATAGAACTTAGAATAAAAAAAGCATGTATGGATATGAATTAATATTATAATTCTTGAATTACAATGTACTTTAAAGTCATCCATCCAGCAGATTGATACCTGTGATTGAGACACTTTGCTAGTTTGGCTCCAATAAAAATGTAGTTCACTACAATTATCTTTTTAGTCCAATTATTGTTACACTTTACTTTAAAGATTACCTATCCAAGCTCTCACTGCATGCATTTAAATCAAACGGTAAAACGTATTATCATTGCTTTCCCTGTCACATATAAGAAATGGCATGTTGTTATTAAAGATCAAACTTGTTATTATGCTGTGTAATTCCTTTATTCCTTTACATATCTGTACCAGTGGCTTGGTACTGTCCCTTTGAAACAGCGAGGAGCCTTCTGCCATGTAAAGGTTGGCTACAAAAGGTGACACCGGGGAGCCCATGGGACATCCATGTTTTTCTCTATAGAAACCCTCATTGTACTTAAAATATGTGGTGGTAAGGCAGGGGTCTAACCCACATAGTAAGCAGGTCTGGCCCGGATCTGGTATCAAGCCGGCACTGCTGGTTGACTTCTATTGTGATAAGACATATGTCATCCAGAAATGGGCCAGGCCTGGCATAGATGGCACTGTCTATGTGACTTTATCCAAAACCTAGTGACGGTTTACTCATCTTTGACAGTAGTCCAATGATTGTCTCAAAGAAACGTACTAGTACACATCTCACACTGATAAATAAAGCACTTAGCATAGAGTCAGATTGGATACAAGTTTAAGGAACCTGGATGAAATCATGTGTTTCTTGGAGGCTGATCTGCTGCTCAGTGTCCATTGCTTCTCATTTTAAATCCTGTTTATCACCTTCGACTCGGGTCAGTCACTCCGAGGGAAGCACAAGTTCCAGCAGCTCTAAGCTCAGGAAACAAACTACATTTACTTATTTTGTGCACAATATTGTGATGATGTTGTATTGAACATCAGCTGCCCACATTGAACTGTGACTATCACCAGGTAACCTGTGTGTTTCCCCAATCAGCAGCAGCTGTTAACCAGCTGACAGGTGAGCAGAATATATGCAGGTAAAATGAGGGTCTGTTGAGCTGATCATTGGTGTCAGGAGGAAAATGTCAGCTTGTTATTAAGTTCTGAATAATGTTACAGAAACATAGAGACACAAGACCAGGCAGAATTTTAATGAAAATAATTTATTGACAAGGAGCTTTAGACACAGACATACTGAAACACTGAGGACAAGACGGACCATGTAATATACTAGAACAGACTCATAACTAAGAATACATAGAATAACCTAAACTAGAGTTGAAGGCAACCTGTTAATAATACTAAAACTCCTTTAAATATACCTAAGAAATCACAAATACAACAATAAACTCAAAATGCTGGGTCACATGACACAGGACCGTGACAAACCGCTAGAGCCACATGTTGTGTTTGGTACAGATTTAATGTCAGATGCATAAAACTGCTCTTCCTGACACAAACACTGAGGCACTGTAACTTCTCCTTAGCATGAAAGCATTGTGAAACTGATTTCTCTCTGAGTAGAGATGTCAGTGCTGATCAGTAATCAATAAGTAATTAGTGTTTTTTAATAGTAATGTGCCATCTGTTAGCAAAAACAATCAACATGTGGTGTACATCTGAACATGTAGTATAGAGCAGCGGTCCCCAACCCCCGGGCCTCGGACCGGTACCGGTCCGTGTCGTTTGGTACCGGGCCGCGAGAGTTGAGGCTCAGGTATGAAATGTTTGGTTTTCAGGGTTTTTATCGGTTTTCAGCGTTATTTTGTTATCGTTTTTATCGTTAACTCGGTTTTCCTGGGTCTTTTCACGTGTGTTATGAATAAATCTTCTATTTTTCGGTACCGGTACTGGTTTTATTTTGTTGTATTTATCCGCGACACCTTAAAGGCCGGTCTGTGAAAATATTGTCGGGCATAAACCGGTCCGTGGCGCAAAAAAGGTTGGAGACCGCTGGTATAGAGAGTATCGAGACAAAGCTGTCTACACAGCTGCCTGATGCTTCTTTACTTGTTTGACAGCAGGGGAAGGATCTCCCAATGTTTCTGACAGCTGATGGAATTTGTTGAAGCTTGTACCAACATGTCCTTTGGCTCCGTCGTCCACTCACCTTTTCATCTCCTCCAGTTTCTTGACCTTCTCTGTGTCTCCTTTCTGCTTCATCTTCTCAATCAGGAAGTCCAAGTGGACAATAGTGGATGCTGAATCAGATTTCAGAGCAATGTGGGCAGCCACTGTTCAATATAAAGCTGCTTTAAAGCTGCTCGACTCTGACAACATGCTGGTAGGACTCGTCCAGGAACTGGGACTTCTCTGCTGTCAGCTGTTTCATTTCATTTTCAAGATTTTCTGAAAGACTCAATATTTTCTAAATTTCTATTTTATTTCCTGCCTGTTTCAAGGCTTCTTTCATGTTTCTGATTTCTCTCTGTTTCACTTCAGCCAGCTTGATTCTCTCTTTCAGGTTTTGGATGGAGGCTTTCAGTCTGATTCATTTAACACTTCAACTGTTGTCACCAGTTTTAGAGGATTAGATTTTCCCAAGAAGTCTGTCAATTGATCCATGTTTGTCTGTGTAAGTTCCCATAAATTTCTAAAAAATGCATTTTTCTCTCTTCGGTCTTTATGCTGGCAGTTATTAAACAGGAAGTAAAGTGGCTGATTCTGCTTATTTTTGGCACATTTAATATTCCAATCTCTAAGAGCTTGAAGAGGGTTTTTAGGTCTGCTTCCATCTGAGTCTGTGATCAGAGCTACAGTGTTTTTCTCCATGTTTTTTCCAAACAGAGACATCACTGAATCAAAGACATATTTCAGTTGGTCACACAATTGATTCACACTTGCCTTCATGACCAAACCCAATGCATGAACTTCATGGACTCCATCATCTGATCCAAACAAGTCCAATAATCTGTGACTGATGATGTCATCATGTTCGATCCCTCTGGTGTCTCTATAACCAGGAGTATCAATGATGGTCAGTGATGAAAGATTTTTAATTTTGTGATTATGTTTAATTGTAGCTTCAGTTAAAGGAAGAAGAGCTTGTGAATTGGAAACCACAGGAAAAGGGAAACCATATGTGCAGAAGAGTGCTGTGACATACCATACTGCTTCCTGTGTTAACAGACAAGTTAACGGTCTCTCTCTCTCCTTTTATGGAAATGTTTTGAGATCTATACATACCAAGCTATCTCCTGTTTCAACAGACAAGCTAAAGGGTCTCTCCTTTTAAGGAAATAATATCAGTTCCATACATGCCACTCCTACTGCTCTGGAAACTTGCTTGAAGTATAAATAAAGAATGTGCTGAGAGCCCTGGGCGGTTTCCTCTGTGTCACATCTGTTGTGCACATGCTGGTGCAGAACAGATCGGACCGTGACGGGGGATCGCCCATGTATATGTACATGTAAAAAGATATCTGAGTCTGAGTTTCTTTGCCTTCTAACAATTTTCTCCTCACAGTCAGAGAGTAGGGCAGAGTTTCATCTTCAAAACCAAAGATCTCGTACACGATCACATCTGATGTCTGACTTTTCTTCTGCTCCTCTACAATCGTAAACCAGACTCTATCCTCCCACTTCACTCCCAATATGTATTTGAGCAGACTGTTGATCAGTGTAGATTTTCCTGATCCTGTTTCTCCCACCAGTAAGATGGTTCTGTTTGTCTTGTTTGGATCTTTTTTCTCCAACAATCATTCTTGTTCCAAACTTCTGTTTCTTTGGTCTCAGCTGACAGACAGCAGGAGGGCCATCAGATCCAAGATCACTCTTGGAGATGATGCTCTCATATTTCCTGAAGAGAAATTTATTTTACACAAGTGTTTCTGTTCTGTCAGAATGTTTCTGCTGAAGGCTCAGACTTTACTGCCTTTAAAACTTTGTTCTGAAATATGGAGAATGATTTTTCATCCTTTTCCTCATAACATCAGTTAAATTCTCAGCTGCTGTTCAGTTTACTGTTCTTCTGTGTTAATGTGTCTATGTATGAACTCTCGCTGTAGTGTACGCTACCAATAAATGAAATCAAGAATTCTCTCACTGTAAATGTTCCACCGATATGAATGCATTATTATTTCTACAGTTAATACACAGTTATCATGTCTGGCAGTGTCAGAAACAAGAAAACAGCTGGAGACATTCACAGATACTAAAGGTTATAAAACTACCGCAGTAAGTCAGAGTCTGGAGTAATCACAGTGATAGATTCTGCGGACAGGAGTAGCTGTCCAAAGGGTTTGAATAGGATTTGGTGGGATTGAGCTGGACATGGGTGGGAACTGGTATTTGCTTCGTCCTTTTTGAACAGGAAATGGTCAATATTTAGTTTTTTTCTTTGTAAATAGACTTTCACTGATTTTGTTGTGTTTTTTTATTTAGTTCATACCACTTGCTACTTATATGTTCAAACTAAATATTTGAATGACTGATTGTTTGTTTAATAGTCCTATAATTTTCCGCTGCTGAGCCCATATGCGATTACATGAAACTTTGAAACTTCTAAAGAAATGCATGGCTGCATGCAAAAGAAAAGGAAAGAAAACAACCTTTTTTTATTCAAAAAAATAAAAAATTTCCCCTAACATTTACACCTAATAATTACATAACACATTCATCTGTGCCCCATTTTGTTTAGAGTATAGAGCTCATGATTAGTTCGCTTGTTTTAATTACTTATATTGGTGCTACTCACTGTGTTGCCATGGTAATGAGGATCAAACATATGTGATGGCACCTGGAAAAAAAATACAAGAGAGAATCAATCTAAGCAAACATCCTAGAAAAAAAATCAATTCAGGTTTATTAATATATCACCATATCATGTACTGTGTGTTATACTGTAAAGAGTGTTCTGGAGAAAGTCTCAGCAATCAGATGACCCCTATATATAAGTACTTGGTGACAGTGGGAAGGAAAAACTCCCTTTTAACAGAGAAACCTTCATCAGAATCATGCACAGGGAGGGGCGGCCATCTGTCACGACTGTTTAATGTTAGTGGTGGGCAGACTGATCAAAATATTGATTGTACTCGGTATCGGATCGATACTAACCCCGTGAGTTTCGCTCTTGTTTGCAATGCTGTGCTTTCGGCAATGACGAAACAGCCAGGTCACCGGACTCGCCGCTCCTGTGTCAGCAGGCACACTTTGCTCCCCCTCCCGCCTCTTGTCTTTAGATGTTGCCCTGTCACATGGTGTGACTTAGAGGCTTTGGGGGTTGTTAAGTTTTTTACATATTATTTATATTTTCACCAGTTGTTTTTGTTGTTTTGAATTATATTTGTAATTTCTGTATTATATTTTCTCAACAGTACTTGTTTTTCATTTGTTTACTCGTTTGCGTGAACTTTTTAAGATTTTTCTAGAAAAAAAAATAAAAATAAAATAATAGATAACTAACTAAACCACCACGGCAGACCCGATGGCATTTTCATGCTTCGCAGCATCATTTATTCTTACAATAGTCATACGGTTGCTGTAACAGTACATTCAACTGCTGCAGCTCTCCTGCTGCCAGCCGTACACATCACCACCAGCAACAACAACACAAGCAGAGCACAGGGTTTTAGCCGGCAAGGTGTGCTCTGCGATGCAGCTGCAGGTGGTGTCACAGAACACGCCCCGCCCCCTTCGCCCAACTGAGGGGAGCCATCGGCCGGGGAGCCATCGGCCGAACCTACTGCACCCTCCACGAGTGAGGCAATTGGCCCGGACCATGTGCGTCCCATGCCCCTGCCCAGTCACAGAGGAAGTGTCCACTCTGGCGGTCGCCTGCACATCCAGCAGTGCAGGTGATGAGGCTGTACCGGGGCAGCGGCATCCCCGGAGCTGGGCCAGTGGCCACCCATTTGGCAAGCAGTGGCGGTGCAGCAGGCGTGGAAGTGAGCCGGGGCTCACAGGCAGGTGGGCAGGCGACAGGCATGCAGGACCACACAGCGTGCTGGCCTCTGCTGGAAGAGAGGCCAGACTGGACAGCACACCGCCCTCGGGTGTGGCAGGACCCCCACGCACCTCCATCTCCAGCTTGGCTGGTCCCGCTGGAGTGCCAGCCTCTGGCAAAATGGCGGACAGATGACAGATGCAAATTCATGCCGCCAACAAGCCATGTATCCCAGGCTGCAGACTGAAGGGTAGTCTCCCCACCAGACAATAGATCAACTGGTCGCAGGCACTGGGAGTCTCCCCACAACCAAGAAGCTAACCTTCGGTACCTTCTCAGTCTCATCTGGACACCAGCCCTGGTTCCTCTTTTCCTTTTCTTTGGATTGATTCCCACCAGTATGTACAGTAGCGTTCACTCAGGTGAGGAACACACAAATGAAGGAGGAGAAGTTTTCCTGTAACTGTCCCAGCTGTCAAAGTAGCTCTCCATTGAATCTTTAATGTGCAACTACGTGCCCCTGTCGTAAATTCTAGCAGCAGAAACAAAGTCAAGACACAAAAAAGTAACAATATCATTACAAGCGACAATAGCCCTAAGTGTGAAATTATACCAGCGAGCTGCACAAGAGGCGAGGTTTCTGCCAGAGGTTTCTTCCTGTTAAAAGGGAGTTTTTCCTTCCCACTGTCACCAAAGTGCTAGCTTATAGTGGGATCATATGATTGTTGGGTTTTTCTCTGTATGTATTATTGTCGGGTCTAACTTACAGTTCAAAGCATCTTGACATGACTGTTGTTGTGATTTGGCACTGTATAAAACAACTGAACTGATTTGGGTAACATTTTAATCAATAATTCAAAGTTGCAGGTCATGCATAGCGCTGATTCCCAGCTGTGCTAAGATCCTAATTGTTTGCAGTGCGTGCCCACAGGTGAATTGATTGAAGTGTCTCTAAACTGGGTGTTATGGTTTGCAGTGTAGTGCTATTTGTTCACACCTTTGGTTTGTTAGGTCTCATGTGCAACTGGAATATTAGCAAAATTTGTTCCAAGTCCTATCTGGGAATCAAAGGGAAAATTTATGTTTCATTGATGGGATAAATAAATTATTAATCTATTTCTTTCAAATGTTATTCTACACCCTAATGCTCAGTTACATGTACTTGGAGAATTAAAGGCACACTGCTTGCTTGATCAGCAGCTCATTCTCTAAACTCGATTTCTAACTCAAACATATTTCAGATAAAAACTGAACTAGGTTGGTGGACTGAATCAGTGCTTTTTCCACAAATCCTACAGATGCTAATATAAAAACATGATCAGCAGCTCTGTTTTCTCTGATATAGAAAACACACTTCAAGATCCAACTTGTGTTAAATCTGATTTAAGCTTTCAGATAAAAACTAACAGATGTGATCTGTTTATGGATCTCGGACCTGAGCCTCACATGTTTCTGGGATTTAAGCACAACAAAGCAAAACTGTGTTGGAAGATGAGGAATCACATGCAAACATTAGATACAGAAGGACTGAGGCCATAAAGATAGCTGCTGGGAACCCAAGAAAGTAGAACACAAAGAAGAACACAAGAAGCTCATATTTTTGAGAAACAAAGCTTCCTTGAATGATGTTTGGTGTTTTCAGCAAAGGAAGGATTCTTTAAGGAAGTTCAAACTAGAAAAACTAGTAACTGCACGCAGCATAGCTTTAGTTTGCAGCACACCTGATCTATGTGAAGCATCAACAGTAACAACTTGTTATTTAATAAACGTACTGATAAGCCATGTATTAGAAAAAGTTCTCTGTGTTCGTCTGTAGAGCTGAAGAAAGAAGACACAAAGAACACCAACTGGGTGAAGTCCAGGTGTTTGACTTGTTCAGTGTAGAGCACTGTGACCTGGATGACTGAGAACCTACGCACCACTATGATGGTATAGATCATAGACTATGGTTTCATCATGCTAGAGACTGTCTCCCAGTTTAACCTACCTGTGATGGACACTGTGGAAGTGATCTTGGTCCTGCTGATGTTACAGATTGAGGTCAGGCTGATCTTTATTATCACTGATGGACAGATTCATTTGGTTTTTGTGTCGTTCAGACTTCAGTATCACTGCTGCAGGTTGGATGAACTCTTCTACTACAAAACGGGTTTGTGTTTCTTTTATTTGACATGATTCACCAGGAAGTTCTGACCAGTTTGTCTTTCCTGTCTCCTTTTAGTCTGAAAGAACTTGGTTTAAAGGTGCTTTTATTTTGGAGTCTCCTCTGACTATAATCATATATTTAATGTTATTGTTTCAGTGGAGCCTTTGAATGGTTTATGTACACGGATCTATATTCATCAGGAGAGGAAAAATCCTGTTTTTTATGACATTATTGTTCTTACTGATCAAACCAACAGAGTAAAGATGTTTAAAGGGTTTAGTAATATTAAACCCCGATTCTTTTGTCCCCATGACAGAACAGAGAAAACCGACTCATAGTGTGTTAAAACATTGATATTTCTTTTTATTCAATCATCTTCCGGAAGAGAGAGACCCCTGCACAGCTGAAACGGCAGTTGCAAGAGCTCTAACATTAGAATCATAAACAAAATAGGTGTTATTTTGGTACTTTACACGTCACACAGTTTCAAACATTGCTTATATGGAAAGTTCCTCTTTTCTGTGTCTTATCTATTAATATGCCTGTGCACTAAAACTTCCTGTTTTTCAGTCTGGCTGAGCACTTAGTTTGTGAGTGTGGCCTTGCTCTACAAGCCTTCATTATTAAAGTACATAAAACAATATAATAGGAAAATAAGGATACTAAGGATATTGACTTCATGACAGCATCCAGCACACAGTCTGACTGCAGCTCTGCTGGACCTGAGCAATCCCTGTGATCTTCTTCTTTCTAATCCTGTCCATCCTGCTCACCTCCAACCAAACTCTCAGCATCTTCAGCTCTGCTACCTGCAGCTCCTCCTGTCTGTGTGTCAGTGCCACCGTCTCCAAACCATCACAGCAGGTCTCACTGCCATCTCCTCCTCTTCACTCTTACTGCTCTCCTCCTGTCATAAATCAATCAGCCCTGACCTTCTCATCTCTCCTTGTTTGTACTTTCTCTTCTCTCCAGACTCTACTCCTCACTCTCACTACAGATCATAACTTTGTCTGCAAACATCAGTGTTCATCAGCACTGCAAACGATAAAGGGCTCAGAGCCACCTCTTTGTGACCCCCACTGCCTGAGCCTGTGAGTATTTAGAAAGTAGAAGGACAGAAACTCCAGGTGTGGACGAGGCTCGTTGCATCATCCCCAAAAACAGCTGCTGCTGTGATTCCTGCTGAAGGGGCTTCAAATAAGTGTCTGAATACTTCAGGAAATATTTTAAAGAAACAATCGTAAAGTTGTGTTTCCAGTTTGTCATTATTAGAAACATTATCAGCCGACAGGCTGAATGGATTAAATGGAGTAAACTGATACTGGTCCCACCATGACCTTTGACCTGCATCTACAGCACTGAGCCCTGACAGTGAGCAGCACTTGTTTCTTCAGCAGGATGTTTCCGTCCCTGCTGCAGACGGTGCAGGTGGAGGTGTTTGTGTCTCCATCTGTGGGGTATTTCAGGGTCAGACTGAGGTCTCCAGGTTACAGCAGCTTTCTCTTCATCTTCGTTGGGTCTCTGTAAAACTTGTGTGTCTCAGTTTGTTCCTGATGTGTTCCTGACGGATTCTTTGGTAACTAGTCTGCAGCGTCCTGTAAAGTGCTGCAGACATGTTGGATGAAGAGCAGAAGAACAGACAGACTGAGCCTCCACAGTCGGCCATGTCTCACACGCTTCCTTTCTTTGGGGCTCAGCATCAGCAACGTGTCTGCGGAGGATGTAGGTTTGAGTGACCATAACTGCGTCTTTGTTGACCTTCACTTGAGGACACGCCATTGGATAAATGAGTCTATTTGAAACTTCAGAAACAAAACTCATATCAGAAAATGGGAGAAACTCCAAGTTTTGTTTGACAAAATCAGCTGTTGCGTCTCGAGCTGCCTCACCTATAAATGTGCGCTCCAAAGCAGACAGCAACAAAAGTCTGATTTTCTGTAGATAAGATCAAAGAAATCAATGACAATCTACTGTTATCTACTGCTGGTTTATTGTGATGGTGCTGTTTTTTTTATTATGTTGCTCTCTTTTTTGGTTTGCTTTCTCTTCTGTTTTTTTTTTCTCCATACAGGTGATCCAGGTTTTTTGTTTGTTTTTCCTTTCTTTCTTCCCCCCTTTCTCTCCCTCTCTTTCATTCTTTCTCCCTGTCCTATCCCCCAGTCATGTCTGTCCCGTTTGTAGCAACCGAAAATAAAATAAATTCATAATTATAATAAAGTTCAATCAAATGGACCAATATGGCAAGGCCATGATGATCCACTTGGTAAAATAAATCCGCTTGGCATCTTTCTTGGCCTTGAGACAACAATTCTGATGGCTAAAGATCCAAACGGGACACACACAAAAAAAAAAAAAAAAAAAAAAAAGAAATCAATGACAACCCCCCACAGCGTTCTTGTTGTGGCAGCTCACTGCTGCTCTACTTTTACACCTGTGACATTTGATGATAATTAGCCGTCTTCAGCTCCCTCAGATATTCTCCCCACAAAGCTTTTTGCCTTGTAAACCTTTTTAACGCTTTTCTTCAGACTGGAGTGTTGCCAGCTTTTTCAAACATGCCATTGTGGAACCAAAGCTCAGAAAACCCAGCTTAGATCCAACATTACAGATCAGTTTCTCTTTCATGTCAAAGCTTGTTGAGAAGCCGGTTGCTGCCCACCTGACAGCCTGCTTAAAGAGACACGACATCTATGACCGTTTCCACTCTGGTTTTGGTCAGATGCATCCACTGACACTGCACTACTAACAGTAACCAGTTATATTGTGATGTCAGCAGATGGTGGAAAATACACAGTCCTGGTCTTGTTGGAGCTCTCCTGCTCTGAACATCTGAAGCTCTCCACCACATGACTGAGCACAGCTCAGGGAGGAACATTTACTGAAGCTGCTGCAACATTTCTTGTCAGCACATGATTGTGCGACAGTCAAGGAGCCACCAGAGGCCACCTGCTAACAGGGCTGGGTATCCTCACTGATTTCTACAATCCATTCACTTTTAATCAGTGAAGTTTGCCTCAGACAGTCAGAAATATTATCATTCGTTTCCATATTTTTATATGTATAAAAAGAAAGCTGACACTGTGAGACTTGATCAGAGGTGTGAGCATCACAGCAGAGGCCTTTGTATCAAAGTAACTGAGGATAAAACAGAAGAACATGAAGCAGATTTTCCTGGCCTGGCTTTTTATAGCAGATCACCTTAAATATTCTGCAGTAGAACAAAAACACATGTGAACATGACCTGATGAAGTGAAGGAGAGCAAAGTTACAAAGGTTTGATTACAGACACAGCTGAGAGTTTTGCAGTTTTGCATCATTTTACAAAGTTTACATTTGTTCAGTTTTGAACAGCAGAAATGAGACTAAGTAAAAAACAACAACAAACCCAGCGGCCGACAGCGCTGTCAACAACGGTAGACTGGTGGGTAATAACAAGCCAATAATGCAGAAAACAGATTTTTAGATGGGAACTGATTCTGATGCATCTTTGTGCAGAATCCATGTTCCTGCTCTCAGTTACTGTTTTAGCTGTTTGATGGTTGTTGAAATTGTGTGAGCTTTAACCTGAGATTCAGGCGTTTCAGGTAAAATAAACTTATATTTAAAAATCGATTCAGGATTTTAATGAATCAATATGACGTTATCCAAGCTAGAATCAATTTCAATCACTAATCAAAACCCACCCCTACCTGCTAACCATCGGCATTATGGGTAGTGCAGTAGGAGACACTCACCTGACTTAAAATAGTGCCGGAAATTAAATAAAAGACCTCCAGAGACAATGAGAACAAGAACCAGGAGAGCCAGGAGAACCAGCAGAGCTGTGGCCCAGGATGGAAATGGTTCTGTAGAGAAACACAAATTGGCAGGTGACCTTTGACTGAATGTAAAGAAATTAAAGAATATGCTTAGATTTAAAATGGTTAAGCAAGCATGCTTATTGTGACCATATTACAAGTTCAGTTTGAGTGATTGTGATCGTCTACAGCAGGGTTTTGGTTTGATGTTGACCTTTGACCTGCAGTGGGACATCTCTCAGTCTAAATGATCTGACGGAGCAGGTGTAGGTGGCGCTGTCAGACAGGTGGAGGTTGGTCAGGTTCAGGCTGAGGTCTCCAGTTTCCAGAGCGTCAGTCTTCATGGATGTTTGGCCACTGTAACGCTGGTTTGGATCTTTCAATTCGTCTCCTTGAAGCTGACGCTGACGGTGGACGGTTGGAGGACTGAGGTCGGAGCGACTCCACACCACTGTGGGGCTGTCCAGTTCAAAAGTAGAAAAATCGCAGGGCAGCAAGACAAATGGCTGTCCCTCATACAGCTCCACAGCCAAGGCATGCTGGGAAACTGAGGACACAGAGTCCATGTGTCACTTTGAGATCAAACGTGGACACAGCTTCAGTTACAGAATATCAAATATCTACATATAGAAATAAAATCACTCTGCAGGTCAAATAAATAAATACAATAAAGAAAGAAATAAGACGTGGTATAATTGAAAAGTCTGAGTTCAGCTTGTCGGCTCACAGAAACACTGACTTCCTTTTATTAATGAGGCAGCTGTGGGAACAGGTAGGAGGCTCCTGATTGGTTCATAAGGTGTGAATAAATGTGTCATGTAGCAGGAAGCAAAGCCACATCAGGCCTTAGAAGGAATTCATGAAAGTGTGAAATCTGTCTGCAGTGCAGTGGAGTGATCTCCTCCCTATGAATGAAGTTTGAAGTCTGGATGTTTAGGAAGCAGCTGCACGTCAGGAAGCACAAATGTGATGAGGAGAAGGCGTGGAGTGCTGTGTCAGGCTCTGCCATGGAAACCAATGAACTTTTGCATGTTTTGAACTGGAAAAAGAAGCAGGATATGAACTTTGTAGGTCAAAACAAACCTCAGGGTCAAATATGATCCAGTACTCATGTCACGATCAGTGTTGGGCAAGTTACTTTGAAAAAGTAATTAATTACTTGAAAAGTAACCATTGCGTTTCTTTAAAAAAAATGTTTAACCCTCTGGGGTCCAGGGTATAATTGGCCATTTTAACTACTTTTGATGTTTCCTCCACATTTCACCTTTAAAAACTATTTACTTTGTCTTGTTTGGTATCATTCTTTTTGGGTTGCCCCGAAGGCTCATGAAGGTTGTAGTGCCGGGAACTACGTCGTGCACACAGGCGGCCATCTACTTTTACACACAAAGTCATTAAAGCATCTAGCGAGGTGGGCGATTCCCGCATGGTTAATTCATCCTTTAACTCTTCACAAAGATTATTTAGAAGGGTACTTCGTAATGCATCCTCACCCCAGCCAGTCTCTTCAGCCAGAATCTGAAAGTCAATGGAGTAGGCTGCCATACTCCACTTCCCCTGCTTCAGGTTCAGCAACCGATGAGCTGCTGCTTCAGCGCCGGATCCCTTCTCAAAAACATTTTGAAATTTTGAAAGAAAAACAGCATAGGTTATGTCTGGATTAGCTTTAAGTGCTGCCTGAGCCCACAGCAGCGCGCGGTCATGTAACAACTGAACAAAAAATGCAATTCTTGCTCCATCATCTTCAAACAAACGTCTCTGTTGGCGGAAAACCAAAGAGCATTGCGTTAAAAATCCTGCACACTTGGATAGCTCACCAGAGTAGGGCTCAGGGGCAGGTAGACGAAGACAGGTGGTGCCTGGTTCCAGAGCAGAGGGGGCTGTTACCTCAGCTGCAGCCGGCTCCACAGCTGGGGCTTCGGCTCCTTGCGGGGCGGGGTGAGCCACCGAGGGTGTTCCCTCCAGCGGTGTAAGCCGAGCCACTGCCTGGGTGAGAGACACAATCTGGCCTAGCAGGTGTGAGAACATTGCCTCGTGGCGGACCAGTAGCGCCTCCTGTGATGCGAGGGCTCGCTGGATTGGGTCTTGGTCTTGGTCTGGTGAGTCCATATTCTGGCTGGAACGTTCTGTCATGGCTACTGGACGGACTCACGTACAGACAGTTCTTTCTTTGAGAACAAAAGGAGATTATTTATTTACAACAGGGATCACCTCAGTGCTATATATATATATATGTACAGTGAGTTGGGAGAGGGGGGGGGAGGGGGAATCCACACACGCTTCCTCTTCCACACAGTCACCGCCACAGCTCCTCCGCACACACGCACTCCTCTTCAGCTGCACTCGCTCCAAAACTGCCACACTGATTTGGTCCAGAAGAGGGATATCTACACACAGAATTCAACGTTAGTTCCACAGCAAAATACACACAGGGGATTCTTTTGATAATGCCGAGAGCACGAACTCAGGAGGTTCAACGTTCCAGCGGTGAGCTGCTCTATGCCACTGCCTTAAATAGCAGCCGGGGAAATCAGCCAGATCAACAGCAGGTGGACACAATCACACAGGTGCGTGGGCCAAGAGCGATCTCCACCCAGGCAGAGAGGAGGAGGAGAGACAAAGAAAACAAAACCAAAAACAAAACCTGTAGCCAGCGTGAGCCAGACAGAGAGACACGGGGACCGTGACAGAAAAATAGTAACGGACCGCGTTTCCTTGTTAGTAACTGTAACGGCGTTGTAACGATAGGAATAGTAATTAGTTAGATTACTCGTTACCAGAGATGGGCAGTAACGCGTTACTTGTAACACGTTACTGTAATCTGATTACTTTTTTCAGGTAACGAGTAAAGTAAGGGATTACTATTGCAAAAACGGTAATTAGATTACAGTTACTTTCCCGTAGGAACGCTGCGTTACTGCGTTACTAAAACCGTGATTTTTTTGCGAGAATGTCTCATGACAGTGATGTAAGCGAGTGCGACGTTCGTGACAACAGCTGTGTGCAGATCAACAGTGGATCACATATCGAGTGCGGGAGAGAGTATGAGCGTGCAGCGTTTAAAGGTGGAAGTACTGACCTTACTTTGAGTTAGATTCCATAAAAAGTGACAAAAACATTAGTGTCCATTGTGCGTGGGAAGAAAACTTCTTTTTACAGCGAAAAAAACCCTAAACTTCCGAGCAAGCACCGAGTAGCTACGACGTATTGGGAAACTCACAGAGAAACTCGCGGATTCTTCCACTGACCGCGGCACACCTGCACCAGGGTAAACCTCCACCTACGCCACTCCTGCTTTACAGGTGAAAACAGAGCAACAGGACCGCTAGTCTTTGACTGTATTTATTTTCTGCTGTGTTTTACTTGCATCTATTTGAAAGAGTGAGTGTAAACACACAAAAAACTATATATATTTTATGTGCTGGAATGTGCAGAAAATAAGTTTAAATGTTAAACAAATTTCTTCCAGTCAGAGAATGTTGCATATAATTAAATTTTTGCTTGATGCATTAAGTTAAAAAGTTAAAACTAATAAAACAAGTTTTAAAAAGAGACTTTTCCATTTGATTACATTTTGTATGATGGATTATGCAGAAAAAGTAGAACTGGGCTGAAAGATCTATCGCTTTATCACCTATTCAGGTTGTAAATCGTGTTTTTAAAATGTAACTAAGTAATTAATTACTTTTGAAAATAAGTAATCAGTAAAGTAACGGGATTACTTTTTTGGGGAAGTAATTGGTAATTAGTTACTGATGACTTTTTTCAAGTAACTTGACCAACACTGCTCGTTACTGAAAAAAGTAACGCCGTTAGTAATGCTGTTATTCCCATCACTGGTCACGACACTGATGTCCTGACTGCTGATCAGCTGATCGGTCCTTTCATGGTTTATCAGAGGACAAAGAAACTTGATACCTTGATTTAGTTTGGACAATCCACCAATCACAGAGCTCCATCAGAGACCTTACAGTAACTACATTCACCAGCAGAGCTTTGATCGCGCTACTCTCCACACTCTGTGCTGACTCCAATGAATGATCAGAGCTGCTGAGCCTGTTTGCAGACCGAGGAGGAGCTCCTGGTGATCCGTGTGGGACTAAAAAGCTCTGATAACATCCATCCAGCAGCTGATAACAGGGACATTTGGTGCCATGTCAGAGCTGCACAGTCAATCATCAGTTTGGCTCTTTAGTTTGAAGAGTTCAAAGCAGCAGCAGAGAATCTAAAGTGTATCACACAGCACCAAGTTTCCTTTGGGCACATATGAAATGTGAGTCAGAGCTTCAGCTACACAACAACAACACACACAGCAACTGATTGTAACATGAGCTCATCTGAAAGCCACCAAGAAGAATCCAGTGATTTGAAAGTTGCTGCTTTGGATTGTTAGTTTGATCTGAATCAGAATCCAGTGTTTGATGGAAATCTCCTCCTGAAACAATGAACCAGGTTAAAATACTTTAAATCAGTGAAGATGTATAATGTAATTTAACATGTTGATAATGGTTGTAGTGGGCTTGTAATGTAAATGTGGTCTGATTAAATGTGACATTAATGCTGACGCTGCATAAACCTGATAAAACAGTTCTATTAGTGGGTCTGTGTGATCAGCATCAGTGGGTGAAGGTGAGGCCTTGACTAGTAGAACGTCATGTTGGTGTATGACAACACATGAGCCAACATCAGACTCCAAGCGCTACGATGCTCAAGATCAGAAGATCCAGTGTGACATCAGCGTTACCTGGCAACAGCAGCCCTCAGCCCATCTGACTTTATTGGAGGATATTTACACCAGCAACACTGTTTAGTTTGATATGACGGATTAACAACATGCTGTGATATCCAGTTCATCTGTAATAGATACTGGATCTAATCAGTCAGCAGATATTTGATCACCTTATTTATAACTATACTAGAAACAAATACAACTGTGTTGGTGATTCATGCAAACTTGCATATCAGCCTTTTAAGGTTTTGTAGTATTGAGAACAAAGAGGTTGTGTTAGGGCTGAAAAGCCCGACTTGTTCTCCTCTGCAGGTCATCAAATGCACCACAGAAGTTTGTATTTGCAGAAGCCTGTATATGTTTGATGGCTTTATTATTCTCTGTTCAAAGACAGTAAATGTGGAAAATGTCTCATGTAGTATCAGCGTCATTTAAAAATGACTGCAAACATTTAGAGAACATGTGCTGCTGTTTTGTCTACATTTACAACACTGAATGAACCCTGAAAACGTGATGGCAGGTGGCAGATTGGAGTTCACATGAAATATAGGCTGCATGAAGACTAGAAAACATAGATGATAAAAATATGCAGCCAAACATTTGCGGACATGGATAAACTATCTGATCCAAAAAGCAAAACGGGCGACCGTGGCTCAGGGGTTGGGAAGTGAATGAATAGTGGCATTGTAAAGCGCTTTGGGTGCCTTGAAAAGCGCTATATAAATCCAATCCATTATTATTATTAATCCATTATTAAGTGCCACAGCTAGAAAATGAAAGTGTGTAACAGCTGAAGTCAAATGTAATGCAGAGTTGAATCTGCACTTGGATCCATCTGTGAAAGGTCCACATGTAAGGATCACATGAGTCCTGATGTTTGTCAGTCCAGCTTGATAACTCCATCTACTGTGGGCTACATATACTGGGCTGGTAGCTCCATAGTGCTGGAAAAAAACTATTCAATGTGCATATTTTAAAATCAGAGGCTCTTCTAACACAGGAGCCATGTTGAGTTTAGATCACAGCCGATCACCGGCAGTCTGAAATGGAATGAAGCCCATTGACAGCCAGCAGGTCTAAACAGGAACGCACCCATTTGTATGCGTGGCAATGATGTGGCTGCAGCTGACACAGGATTGGTTCAAACTAAACATCAGACGCATTTCACAGAGTTCACAAGTAAACTCACGTTTTTATCTTTGAAGATCATCATAAAGTAGAATTGATGGTCCAGTAGAAACAGCAGGAGGTTTGAGCCCTTCTGATGCAGCAGAAACAGGATTTGGAGGAAGATGTTAACAGATTAGAGAGAATTGTACACTGTGAATCAATGCAAGTCTTTCTAGATAGACAGATCTTTAATAATCCTCAGGTAGGTTCCTCTGGGACAGTCACAGATAGAGACGCCAATTCTGACATCCTTTGAAAGCCTGACTTTGAATTTTCATAACTCGTCATGTACACAGATGTTAATTCTACATGTTCCTGGTACTGAACTCTAAATCAATATGAAGAAAATGCTCCTACCAATCTGCATCTATGTTCATATCAAATCCTTTTCCAGCACATGGATAAATCTCTATAAATCTTTCAGTCTGATCAGAATGGGCACAGTGTTGTTATTGCAGCTCCCTGATGTTTGAAAAGCTAAATGTCCATTTTAAAGTCCTCGTGTGTAGGATTGTGTTTCCTTCCTTTGTGCAGTTCTTACAGTAAACATGTTTGAATGTTTCCTGTTCCCATGATGCTTCTTCCTGTTGGATAAAGTTGGTTTGAATAACATGTTATTATAGGTTTCAATGAACTTCAAACTGTGATCTGAAGGAAATTTCCGTCCCGGGTTTCCTCCGTGGCGTGAGCGATAAGCAGAGTTTTGTCCTTTCCTTATAAGACTCCTAATTATTCAAAGTAACACTCAGGTATGCCGTTCAGCGGGTTAGTTACAGCGCCGGGAGTAGCTTGGGAGAACAAGGAAACACAGACTGCTTCAGGTTGCTTTCCCATAATCAACTCAAAGGTTTATTAAGTACACAACAGCTTATATAGAGGAAAAAGGTTCGTGTGTCAGCAGGTTCTCAGTTCAAACCGGTACAGACCAAATAAGGAAACGTCTTCCTGCCTTCTGAGCAAAGAAGTATCCTTTGTGTAGTTTATCTCTTCAGTTACAATTTATGATCATCCCAGCAAAATACACTCCTAGACATAGAATACAGAGTTCTTTCATTAGTGAATTCTGAAACAAACCACCTGGCCTTTAACAAGCTCTTTTCTAAAGGATAAGGAAGGGAGGATGGGAGTAAGGGAGTGATCTCTGTGGTGTTTTCGACCTTGGGGTACCATCCTGTGAGTCTTACACATTAATTCTTGGGTCAGAGAGAAAGAGAAAAACAACTAGTAAATGGGCCTTATTGAGTAACAGTTTTCCTGTATAATATCACTATAAAACAATATCCTGTAAATGCTACCATGGTATCAAAATATCACAACATGATCCACTTACAAAACTGTCTCGTTTTATTGGAACGATCCACATTTGCATCCATTCACGGTACATTTGACAACTGAACACGTTTGTACACATGATGAAAGGACAGATGGTGTTTGTGTGTCCTTCTTAAACTTAGTGTGAATGTTTCATCATGTAGAACTACTTAGAACAAAGTCTTTGGGAACATTTGGAGAACACATTTAGGAAAGTAACATCCTGGTAGAACATTTTCTTAAAGCAAAGCAGAGCTGCAACATGACTGTGAGGATTCAGAAGAATAAAGTCAGAATACTTTATTATTATGAAGACTAAAGTGCACCTTAATGCTGCCGATGAACACACATGTTCTTTGTGAAAGCACGTGTGAGCACAGCTGACGTGCACCACACTGACCCCACTCGCCCCATTTCTTCATCCACTTCTTGCTCTTGTGCTTGAAATGAGGCGCAGACGCAGCAAAAGTAAGAGGCTCTAAAATCCACAAAAAGGGGGCTCGTTAGATCAGGATACTGGATGTGACCCATAGAAAACATGGATAATACACCACTTTATTTGAAGCATCTGTAGCACTGCCTCAGTTCTGGATATTTCCACAGACTCCTCTGTGCACCAAAAGAAAAGGTCAAAGGTCAGCAGCACATGTAGTTGGGACAATTCTTCATTTACAAACAACAGTCGCAGAAACTGTACAATTATTTTCCTCCAATGACGACTTTTCTTTTGCAGAAATGGTCCTGTGTGATTTCTAGGTTGTGATATGACAAACTAGTTCCTAATGGCAGCGATTCACTCAGTAAACATGTGTTTCCTTCACCAACCTCACACACAGATCCAATAAGATCAGGAAGTGGGCAGTATAGTACAATATGTGTTATTTTGTGCTGTACTGCCCAAACTAAAGATCTGCTGAAGTGTTGGAAATGATTCAGATGTTTATTTTGGACGATACAGCAGAAGATCAGACATGAAAGTGGAGATAACACAGAAGACATGCAGCAAAGGGTCAGAGGTCAGACTGGGCCACTGGATTCAACAATGAGCCAATGATCATAAAGCAGTGACTAAAGCAGAGCCCTGACGTTCTGACATTTATCACACAGTTAGAACAAATGTCTGCTGATGACTTCATCTCATGAAATGACTGATAGATGTCAATTCATTGATCAGCTGAGCTGCTGCTGCTTATCTTCTTCATCGTGCACAGAAACATTCAGCTTGTTTCAATCAGTAAATAACTTTGAACTGTTCCCAATCAAAATGCTGCCAGAACAATGATCATTGTAGAACTTCATAAACATCACGTGCTGTTTTCCACATGTAAGATCAGCAAACATACAGAAACTTCCTGTTGCCACACACGGCCTCTAAAATCTCTTCCATGGTTTCTGTCTGAAGTCCACTCTCTGTGTCGGATCCACAGGAAACAACAAGATCTTATTAACATGGTTTTCAATGTGTCTCCTTACAAAAAGTCCAACCAATGAACAAATGTGTGTATTTGTGGAGGCCGAACAAAAGCATGACACATTTCTCTGTTTCTATAAACTGGAGTCAAACACAAACATGAAGAGTTTCACTGACAGACTCCAAAATGCCCCCACAGTGGATCAAAGGGAAATCCTACAGTGTGGCCAGAGACTCTTAATGGCTCCAACATCAACACATCCACAATGTTGGATCCAGTTCTGCCTCACAGAGCTACTAAGACACACCCTCTGCCAGCATCACAACAGCTCCACCTGCTTCACCTGCCTCCTCAGCATCTGTACACCTGAAGAGAAAAGAAAGGCTCCAACAGCTCAAATCTACAAAGGATTCATGAAGTTTCATCCAACAATAACATGTTTGCCTTCCACAGTGTGCTGTTAGACACCACTGTACCTCTGCCATTTCAAAAAGAGGAAACACAAATCATTCATGTGCACATCAACTGAAATCCTCCTTTCCATCATGTGTGCTGTCCAAATATCAGCTGCTTCTTTCCTGCTTCATCTCAGTGTCAGCTGAAAACAGTCAGACAGCAGTGTGAGGCAGAGGAAGCTGCCATCAGCTGCTCTACTTCTACTATGAGTCCACTAGATGGAGGTATGAAGTACACACGATGCATTCACTGACACACACTGATTCACTGTGACTGGAAGCTTCAGTCAATTCAACACGTGTGAACAACATTTTCAAACATTTCAGCTGATCAATGATTCAAAGAGGATCAGCAGAGTTAAAAACTTCACGTTAATTATTCCTGCTGAGTTTGCAGAGAACTGCACACACACTGATTTACTGTTTTGGAAACTACAGACACGTTTTTAAGTAAAGGTTTAACTACAGCTAGCTTGAAGGGCTGTGGTACATAGCCAATTATTAGAGATAATTGATAATATTTAAGATTGAAGCATTAATTAATGCCAGGACTTCTTTGAGCAGTCTTGTAGGAAGACTGCTTCATCATTACTCATTAAAAATCAAAGACACATTGATGGTTTGGAGGAAGCAATTATTGAAGTTAACTCAGAAAGATCCATCAGACAGTGTCATGGTCCTGGGCCGTGTTGGCCCAGTATTCTTAGTTCTCTTGTATTTTTGTATTCAGTTCCCTGTTTAGGTTCTGTTTCCTGAGTTGCCCTGTTATGTTGTTCCCTGTGTGCTTTCCCTTTGTGACTCTCACCCCCTGTGTGCCCCTCTATGTATCATGAGCCCTTGTCCCCTTTCGTGTTTTATTCCATGTTTTCCCCAGCCTGTTATGTCTGTGTTCTCCCCGTGCTCTCTCCTCCTGTCTGAACCTCTGTGTACTTCCTGTTTGACTCTGCCCATCTCCTGTCAGTGTTATGTTCATTTGCTTATTAGTTTTCCCTTGTGTTTTCAACCCCTGTGAAGTCTCCCTTGCCCTTCGTGTGTTTCATGTCTGTTGTCTTATGTTGTCATGTCTGCCTCTCATGTTTCCTGTTTCATTTTGGAGAGATCTCGTGTTTTTATATTATGGATTATGTTTTGAGTCCTTTGTGGTACTGTTTTGTGTTTCCCTAGATCTCAGTTATTGTTATCTTAGGTTTTTGCAATTTGGCTTTGTCATATGGCTTCCCTGTGTTCCATGTTTTGTCTCCCCTGTTGCTGTTAAGTTTGCATGTTTAGAATTCAGTCAGTGTGTTTCCTGTTTTACTTTGTAGGTCCATGACTCATGTGAGTGTTTCTAGTTTTGCGTCTCTGTCTCGTCCAGCCTGATTTACTCCCAGCTGTGCTCCCCTTCTGTGTCTCATTCCCTCGTTATCCCTCTGTGTATTTAAGCTCTGTGTTTTTCTTTGTCAGTGTCGTAGTCTCCCTCATGCTGTGTGTGATTCTCCCCGTGGTTCCTGGTATACTTTATGTTTAGCTTTCCCAGTTTAGTTTAGTACTGTTTTTGTGTTTCACCTTTTGCCAGCAATAAAGCTGTGTTTTTGAGTTTACGTTTTGTCTCCGTGAGTTTGCGTTTGGGTCCTCTCCTGCCTGCCACACAGCCGAATCATGACAGACAGAGTCTAAACAATTATCTAAACTGTCTGTCGGCTTTAAAGATGGCGCGGCCACATCCAGACACCTTCCTGACTGCTCCGCTCAGACTATGCACCTTTTTAGGTGTTTACTTATTTTTTGCTCTGGTTTACATCCCAAAATCCTCTAGTTTTATAGTCTAGGACAGCAGATCACTTATAAACATCAGTGACAAGGTTGCACATTTAATCTTGGACACGCTGGCCAACGTACAATCGCTGGAGAACAAGCTCAATGACCTAAGAGATGTAGACTGGGACATGTTCAGAGCATGCACAGTTGACAGCAACGAGTTTATGGAAGAAGCAGTATGCTTCGTCAACATGATAGCGAAGGAGATTATCCCCACTGCGAGAGTCACCCCATTCCCGAACCAGAAACCGTGGGTGGACAGATCGATCCGTGCTGCAGTGAACACCAGGACCGCCACCTACAATGCCTACAGAGCGCTCAAAAGATCTACCATCATCCCTGTGCCCAAGAACAGCAAACCCTCATCCCTGAACGATTACCAGCCAGTTTCACTGACCTCGGTACTAATGAATGTGTTTGAGAGGCTGCTGAAGAGCATCGTCTCCTCTTCCATCCCAGACACCACAGATCCACTCCAGTTTGCCTACCGACCCAACAGATCCACAGAGGACACCGTCGCCCATGTCACACCCTTGTCAATGTGTTTCTTGCCACATGGACAAGAAACAGGGTAACTATGTGAGAATGCTATTTGTTAATTACAGTTCAGCGTTTAACACAATAGTGCCCAGCAGACTGTTCACAAAGCTCTGGGATCTAGGACTCAACAGCTGTCTGTGTGCATGGATGTTGGACTTCTTCACTGGCAGAACACAGGAGCACCACAGGGATCTGTCCTCTCACCACTGCTCTACTCCCTCTACACTTCAGACTGTGTGGCCACCCATGGCTCCAACACCATTGTGAAGTTTGCTGACGACACAGTGGTGTTGGGTGCCATCTCCAACAACAATGAGGGAGCCTACATGGATGAAGTAAAGGATGTGGCATCATGGTGCCAGGATAACCATCTCCAGCTGAATGTTGGCAAGACCAAGGAGCTGGTGGATCAGAAGGAGTTGGTGGTGGACTTCAGAAGGGGTTAGCACAGAGACTACAAGCCCATTATCATCAATGGAGCTCCAGTGGAGAGGGTGCAGTCCTTCAAGTATTTTGGTGTCCACATCTCCTCAGACCTGGCATGATCTTCCCACATTCAGGTGAAGAGCCAAAAAGGCTAGGCAGCACCTGTATTACCTACGACAACTGAGGAAGTTCAGGGTCTCTCTTGTGATCCTCAGGACTTTCTATACAGACGCTGTGGAGAGCATCCTCACACAGAACATGACATCGTGGTTCGGGAACGGCTGTGTGAAGGACCAAAAAGCTCTCCAGAGAGTGATCCGTACAGCAGAACGCTGCTGCAGGATTGCTCTCCCCCCGCTTCAGGACACCTACACCAGGAGATGCCGGACTAGAGCAGCGCAGATACTGAAGGACCCGTCCCATCCTGGCAACAAACTGTTCCAACTTCTGCAATCTGGTAGAAGGTTCCGCATCATCCGGGCAAGGACAGAGAGACTCAAGAGGAGCTTCTATCCCCAAGCCATCCGTGCCCTAAACACACACACCCGCCCTCTCACAGCATACATAAGTGACTGAGATGGGACTCTCTTCTAAACACTCTAAACCCACTGGCACAAAGTACATTTCAAATTTTTTCTTAATTTTAAATATGTTCATATTGTTTTTTTCTTATTTAATTCACTTAATGTACAGAATTCACCTGCTTGCTGCATACAATGCACATTTACCTAATGTACAGTATATAATATATAATGTTCTTCTTCTCTCCCCCCTTTTGCACAAGTCAAGGAGCGTGTCAGCTTACATTTCACTGCGTGTTATACTTGTATAACTATGCATGTGACGAATCTTGAATCTACAGTATTCAAAGTAGTTATAAATAATTTTTTCTCTAATGGTTAACATTTAATTGTGAACAAATTCATGCATTCATTACGGGTAAATGTTAAAGGAATGATTGCTCAACAGAGCTCTGGCTCTGTCAGCATGGCTACAGCATTAAAAAGGGTCTAGCTTTACAGATGTGTTTTATAATAAGGGAAACAATGTCAGGGTTGGGTCAAACGTTGGGTCTGTGACCCAACGTTTTGAGTTTA